ACACACACACACACACACACACACACACACACACACACACACTCAACCTTTACCTTCATCTTCAATATGCAACAAAATACTACAGATGTCACTTGAAAATCTTCGCACACGCACAACAAATCTTTAAAATGCAGCAACTCACTGCAGAAGTAACACACAATATTCTCATGCAACTCTCACACACATATAGCCTGTCAGTGTGTGTGTGTGTGTGTGTGTGTGTGTGTGTGTGTGTGTGTGTGTGTGTGTGTGTGTGTCCCCTAATCCCCGGCGTTGGCCGTCTTGTCAGAGCGTTATATTTGCTGGTATCACTGTATCTTTTCCTCGCTGCCTAATCCCACCACCCCGCCTCTGATATTTCCTGACATTTACATGAATCGCCCCTCTACTGAGGGAGGGACGGAGCGAGGGAGGGACGGGGCGAGGGAGGGAGAGCTGTAAGACGGAGAGAGAAATGGAGGGTGAATGAAGAGAAGGACGATGCAGGGGAAGACGGTGTGAAAGTAAAGGTCTACAGGGCTTTAAATTGAAGGGAAACAGCAGAGGAGGGATGGAGACGGGGATTGAAGGATGGATGGATAAAGGAGGAAAGGAATAAACAGGGAGGGGGAGGACTAGTGCAAGAGAAGGGAGGAGGAGGAGGAGGACAAGAAAAAGTCGATGAAAAGGAGTTAAAAACCGATGGCGAACAGATAAATGGTAGAAGTGGGATTAGGGATGGGAAAGGAGGGATTGTTGGAGGAGGGATGGAAAAGCAACGGAGAGAGTCAAAGCAAGGAAAGAAGAGATGGATGAGCAGACGAGTATGGAGAGGGAGATGGAGGGTAAAGATGGAGGGATGGAGGAGAGGAGGGATAGTGAGGGAAAGATGGACATGCAAAGAAAAAATATTTAAAAGGTGGATGGATGGATGGATGGATGGGAAAGGTAGAACAGAAACAGAGGGTGAGGGATAGTTACTGTAAAAAAAGAAATGAGAGAGGGAAGGAGGGAACAGTTAGATGGATGGACGGATGCTGAATGATAGTTCTGTCTTTCTGCTCCATCTTTTAATTCATCCGTTTCATTTCTCTGTCGCTCGCCGTGAGGAGGAAGAGGAGAGAGAGTGAAAGTCAAAAGAAGGACGGATGAAAACGACAGGACGGAAAGAGGGAGACGTCTTCGACCTCAGTGTGTGTGTGTGTGTGTGTGTGAACATATGTTAACACCAATAACAACAAGCTCTTATGGGCACCAGGAGACACACACACACACACACAGGACGACTCTTCGGAGGCTCGTTAAGGCCACGCCTAAACGAATGACCTCACACCACACCTGTTGTTGCTACGGCGATTAATTAAGGGAAGGGTGGAGATTAACGACGCTCCGGAAACACTGAACAACCTCGAAGTTCATTCCGCAGAGTTTAACTGTTGTTCGGCTCTGACGACCTCCTGTTGTGTCAATCACGGTTCGTTCTTTTGATTTCAACAAATACTGTGAAAAGTGTTTCGGGGAGAAATCTCCCTCCTCTGAAGTCCTGAGTCAGAGAAACGCCGTTTTCCTGCAGCGATTAAATCACGATGAAGTAAAAAAGGGAGGTGACACAAAACAGACGAGCGGGGATTCGAAAGCTGAAGAAGACGAAGCAGAAGAAGAGACGAAGAATAATGAAACGTCTTCCGTCTTTTATTCCTACAACAACACGGCGAGGGGAGAAAGTTAAGTGATGTCATCAGCGCTATCGTCATTAGCCGCGGATGATAATGGATTCAGATAAATGTGTCCAAACACGTTAGACGTTGAGCGCGGTGGGGGGGTGGGGGGGGGGCACCAGACGCCTGCAGAGCCGCAGTCACATTCACTCAGTTGCAGGCGAAGCGTCTCAGAGGCGGGTGTGAAATATGTCATTTGCTTCTGCTCTTAATTGCACTAAAAATGAAGATTAAGAGGATGAATTATTGATACAAGTTGGTATTTAATCTTTTGTAATGAATAGTGGATCCGCTGGTTATAAATATTGCACGAGGCTTCATAATTTGATAAATTTATTCCAATTTGCCCTTTATTTTGCCCTTTAGTCAAGGTTACGTTCATTTAAACACACACACACACACAATCCCAGAGACACAACAGATGCTCACACTGAAAACACACACACACACACACACACACACACACACACTTAAATGAACTGCAGTGAATCTACCTGCCCCTCTGCCCTTGGTCATTCCTGTTTCATTTTCTTTTTTTAACCAACGTCCATAAACACACACATAAACATGTTGCCCTTGGTTGACCTTGCCCCCCCCACCCACACACACACACACACACACACCCACCACTCTGCACCTCGGTGTCTGTGGCAGTAATTAGGCCATGCATCTGATTGTCATTAAAGAGCACGAGCGGATAATGAACACACAGTAAATCCACGTTCTTTTCCTTTTTTTACTGCACAAATTATTGTTTATTTCCTCCGTTAGATCATGAATCAGTCGGACGACTCTGAATGATGCTTCACGCTCAGAAACACGGAGGTGACTTGTGTTTAAAAAGCTTCGAGCTGCAAACAGTCACAGGTGAAACGTCCAAACCAGAGAAACACACTGCGGATCACATTAATATTATTATCAACATATTTATTTTATCTCTTTTTGTTTTCTCTTCTTTTTTTAAAATCCGGATTACTCAAGAACTGAAGTTGTTTCTACCACACTCGGTGGAAACGTGTTATTTCTCAGTGGAGAACTGATTCGGTGTGAATCTGGATCAGAGGCCGGATCCAGGATTGTGTCCCTTTAATTACCACTGCAATTGATTTCATGGATTTCTCAGTTATGGAGGAAATAAACTGTAATTCGTGCAGTAAAAGAAGAACAAATAATAAGAATCGTCTTTTTCCTTGGAGGCTGATTCTAAACTTTCCCAATAAGACAAAATAATTCACCTGGGTGAGTCTGAACTTGAACATTTCTCTTGTTTAACAAGCTGCTTTATTCAGCTCCTGGTGAAAACCTCCTGGACCATCAACACTGAGGGAATCCTAACCAGGAGGAGACTACAACTCCCATCATCCCACACTGAGCTTGTTTTCATTGAAAGCCCCCTGGTGGCAAAAGAATGACTATTATTATTATGACGATTATTTAAAAACATGTCCTGTTACGACTGAACAAGCTGGAAGTTGTTTTGCTTCTCGTGAGTTTTGCTCCGATAGTTTGGATTCAACGATCTGTTGCCCACTACAGACACACAGTGAATAATTCAGAATATATCACCGACGTATGAGAAACATGTGATGTTGTGACTGGTTGTGTGTTTGTGTGTCTGTGTGTTTGAGTGTCTGTGTGTTTGTGTTGTGAAGCAGCAAACAGAAATAATTCAGCAGGTTCACGACTCAGCTTGTTGTTTGGAGGTTTTACGGATCAAAGCTTTAAGAGCAGAGGGAGATTCACACAGATAATGAACGGACTGTTAATGTGCTGCGGCCAAGCAGCTAATGGACACACACACACACACACACACACACACACACACACACACAGACACACACACACACACACACACACAGGTAGTGGCTGGCTAATGGCTGTCACTGTTGAGTGATCACAGTGATCAGGCTGCTGCAGCTCTAATTGCAACTAAACAATCTGAAAACAACCAGAGTCAGGTCCGCTGGAGGAGGAAGAGGAGGAGGAGGAGGAGGAAGAGAAAACAACAGGGAAGAGGAGGAAATGAGAAGAAAAGAATAGGACAGAAGAAGATGGAGGAGGAGGAGGAGGAGGAGGAGGAGGAGGAGGAGAGAACAATGAGGAAGAGGTGAAAATGAGGATAAAGAGGAGGAGGAGGTGAGCACAATGAGGAAGAGGACGAGAGCAATGAAGACAGATGAAAGGAAGAAAAAGATTTACAATAATGAATCAATGAAGGAGGGGGGGGGCAATAATGAGAAGATTGAGAGAAGGAATGAAGGTGGAAACACACACAAGAAGAACAGAAGTGATCAGGAGAAGAAAAGGACAGAACAGAAAGATGAAGAGAGGATGGAGAGAACATCATCCATCTTTATTGACTTGAACTAAATGTGATGCTGAAGGACGGAGCGTGGATCCTGTTCTGACAAATCAAAGGTTTCGTGTGTTGGTTGGTTCTTTGTTGTTTTGGTTCGTTCTGGATGATTTGGACGTAAACTGCTGAAATGCTTTTCATGTAATTGATGCTTTTTGAAATAAAACTATGAGTCATAAAGTTATACGGACGGTGTTTGTAGGAGTAATAGTTGTATTTAAAGTATTAAAGTATTCAATCGAAAAGGAAAAAAGCAACAAGACAGGAAGCAGACGGAGGAAGAAATGTGTGTTTGTGCAGAAAGAAAAACACAAAGATGACTCATGGAACGAGACGTGAGTGACAGGACTGTCGCAGAAAGAGAGAGAGAGAGAAACAAAGGGAGATGACACCTAATTAACCAACTCCAGCCAATTAACCAGCAGCCAATAAGAAATGAAAAACCAATCAGGATGTTAATTGGCAGCCAATACAAACAATACAAAAACAGACTGTGTGTGTGTGTGTGTGTGTGTGTGTGTGTGTGTGTGTGTGTGNTGAGTGTGTGTGTGTGTGTGTGTGTGTGTGTGTGTGTGAGATGAGGATAACAAGGATCATCGAAGAGGAAATTGACGGATATGAACCAAAGAATAAAAGACAAACAAAAAGCAGATGAACAGAATCACAGAAAAATTCAATGCTCAACACAAAAGTATTCTCTCTCTCTCTCTCTCTCTCTCTCTCTCTCTCTCTCTTTCTCTCTCTCTCTCTCTCTCTCTCTCTCTCTCGTACCTTGAGGCCGTCCGCCGGACTCGGACTCTGCCAACTCGCTGACGGCTCAGTCGAGGCTGCGAAGAGCTCGTGCGATTGGCCCGTGTAGAGGAGGCGGGCCTGAATGCAGCGGAGGGCGCGGAGCATCCAGCCGTGTTGGCGCCGGATCTGCCGCTGCAGCTGATCCCATTGGCTGGAAACCATGTGGAGGATATCCTTCAGACCTGCAGGGCGAGAAAAACAGAGAGAGAGAGAGAGAGAGAGAAACATCTGCGTCAATCAAATCATTTTACATCAGCTCAATAAGAAGTTTGAAAACTGTCCACTGTCCTATTCCGTCTTCTTGTTACCGTGACAACAAAAGATCCAGTCGAGGGAACTTCAACTCTTTTTAATTCTTTCATAATAACCTCACTCCTGTTCATCCTTTTCTATAGATTTAGGAAAATATGAAATAATATTGAATGTTTCTTTCCCTCACGTCCAGTTTCTGCCCACTGGCTTCTCTCTCTCTCTCTCTCTCTATTCTCTCTCTCTCTCTCCATCTCCTTCTTTATCTCCGTCTCTCTTTCGGCGTCATTCATATGAGTTCTCCTCTCTGAAGGTCACTCTGTTAATCCTAATATTAATAATGAATGGAACAGAGTTGGGGCTCGGTTATGGCCACCTGTGTGTGTTTCAGTGTGTATCTGCTCGTGTGTGTAGGAGATGTGAATGAATATGAATATGAATGTGTGTGTGTGTGTGTGTGTGTGTGTGTGTGTGTGTACCTGATTGGTGGGAGGTGATGACAGCGAGCAGGGCTCTTCCTTCCTCCAGAACGTTCTCCTTCAGAACGCTGTGACCGTCCACGTTCAGCTTGAAGCTCTGAAACGCAGATTTCATCATCAGTGTCGTGACGATTTTTGTCCGACGTGAAGAAAAGTCCTGATTATTAAAACGACCGGAACGATTAGAAACAGATCAACAAGATCGATAAACTACATTTTCATACGGAAACTATGACCCAAACATTTGTCAGACTGAATCTGTGATGACAGTTTTCTTGAAGGTAACACTCACTTTCAGTTTTACGTCCAAATTAAATACTTTGTTGTAAATTTAATTCAATTTGAGCTGTTGGTCAAAATCATTCATTAAATCATGATCGTATTTATTTCAAATAATAGTAAAAACTATTGATGATTAAATGAATGAATTCATTGCAGATCTTATTTTTGTCGCAAAATCCCAGCTCCTTCTGCAAACCCTCAGTGTGTGTGTGTGTGTGTGTGTGTGTGTGTGTGTGTGTGTGTGTGTGTGTGAGGGATTAAAATGCTTCGTCCCATCCGTCTCCTCAGTGTGTATCCTGCTCCATAAATATTGGTGGTGTGGAGGTCTGACCTTGTCATGTGTTGACTGATGCCCATGTATCCCTCAGTGCAGACAGAGGAGTGTCTCAGGCTGGGTGTGTGTGTGTGTGTGCGTGTGTGTGTGTGTGTAGGAGCTCGGTGGATGAGATGGTTTCAAACATTCTAAACAAAGTCCATTTGTCGTTATCAGATAATTATCGGTCACATTCTGTTTCTCTGTGAAATGAACTCGTATTTGAGTTTTCGAGCTCCTGCCGTCGTTAATCTCAGGATTTCTCATGAGTACAGACGAATCTTTGACGCTTTGATTCTGTATTCGTTTTTATTTGGGATCAAATATTTGTTTTCTTTGGTTAAATGTTCATCATACGCAGATAAAGAAGAGATCAGATGACATCACGCTAACACACACACACACGCGCCTGCACACACACACACACACAACAGTGTCTAGAGAGCATAGTGTGTGTCTGTGTGTGAATATGCGTGTGGAGCATTTCCCATTGCAGCACAGCAGGATGTCAGAAGTGGTTACCACCTGAGGTTTGAGCACCTTGAAGCCCACACACACACACACACACACACACACACACACACACACACACAGGACTCTGCATTGACTTCCATTCGCTGTTTCGTTGTTTGAACCAAATATGAAGAAACTCCCTGACGGCGTTTTTACAAAATCACGTTTGAAGGACGGACGGTGTCGTCGATGCAGAGGCATTAAAGAAAGAACCTTAAATGACCCGAGTGTCTGCAGCAGATAATATTTAATGAGAGGAAACAGAAGCTCTTAACGACAGAGCTGATTTAAAATTAATTGTTTGAGTTCAGCGTCACTAACAGAAGGATCCCGATCGCTCGTCTACACGAGTCTGACGTCTCCTTCTCTAACAACACCACATCTGCTGAAAGCTCTAACGGATGTGAGCCGATAGCAGCGACTCTGTCCCGTACATATTACATTTCACAGATAAACAATAAAATATCACTTTGAAAAACCAAAGCCACGGCCACCTCTCCTCACAGCTCCGCCCCAAAAAAAACACATTCATACATCAGCATCATCCAAATAAAACATGACTGTCTGCGTTCTCCGATCATTACCGCCTCGCAAACGTCGTAAATTACTTCAAATCTCACGGCTGATTGAGTAATTTTACAGAGTCGGCGGCCGCTCTGCCCCACGTAATTTCCAGATAAGCTGGTGAAATACCTCACAGCTAATAAACATAAAGTACATCTATCAGCGCTACAGAAAACACAGCGTGACTGTCTGCGTCTCAGGGATAGTGCCGGCTGATGTTAGGGAATGAATTAGGTTGTGCAGATTAGCCGGGCTATCGGGGAGCGATCGTATTTCAGCGCCTTATTCCACGAGCGATCCGGCTCCGTTTCCTCAGTTTAATATATGAAGAGCATAGAATCGATAAGAGTAGAACAGCCAGCCATCAATCACGCGGTGATAAGGCATGCAGAGCGGCTCTGCTCTATGCACGTCAGACAACAGGCTGTATATGTATTTATGTGTCTGTGAGGGAGAGGAGGGAGGAAATAGAGACAATCAGCGTGAGCGGCCGAGGAGAAAAGACAGAAGGAGACAGACTGTGTGTGTTCGAACAAGAAACACAAAAGAACCCAAACAGAACCCACGTCACATGTTCTGCACTGAAAGACCCGTTGTTTTATTTCAGATCGTGAACTCATGACGTCAACCGAGTCTCGAGTCAGCGTCTCTGGACATTTTCTGGATCTTCTCCTGCTGCCTCCATTTTTAAAAAACATCTGTAAAACATCAGAGTTGAGTCCATGAGAGAAAACATGAACAGGAAAACATCTGGAACCTTCAGAGTGAGCGAGAGGACGCATCGACGAGGTTTCTAACACGTGACGGGCGTGAAACTAGACGAAGACGTCCACTTGGACAGACGAGGAGGTTCCAGATGTTTTGGTGACAACAACACTGATCTTTCGGGGCGTCAAAAAGCTGCGTAACTGATAAACATTAATTCCACTGATTTAGTTTGTGTTAATGAGTTAATTGAAATCAACAAAATCAATTTCAGATTGACCTTCAAAGAGCCTGGATGGGTGATTTTTCAATTTATCCTAAATAAAACCTGAAAAAATCTGAAAAAGTAAAAAGTTTTTACTTTGATTAGGAAACACGACGTCAGTGATTCAGATGATGAGAGTGAACAGAGCGGTGTGTGAGTGAGGACTGGAGGTGCTGCAGGTAGAGAGGCAGGTGAGTCTTATTTACAGCTAACTAACCTTCACTGCTGATATTTCATCTCATCTTAAACTTCCTGAACGATGGAGGCAGCAGGTGGATTTGAGGATTTCTCAGCTGCTGTCGCCACCGGGCTGAAGAGTCATAACTCCCTGCTCTGATTAGCATACACACACACACACACACACACACACACACACACACACACACACACACTCAGACGAACTGCTTCAAAGCCTGAGTGATCAGATTACCTGTTAGCATTAGCATATTAGCCTGGAGGACAAGGTAGGATGGCGTCAGAATCCGACCTAATGTTTCAGCTCTGGGATGTTAGCGAGACGCTGAGAGGTCTGCAGCGCTGATACGGAGACGACATTGAGGTTTGACATTGAGAGTGTGTATTGAGCCGCACGCACACGCACACGCACACACACACACACACACACACACGCACGCTCAGGTTGATGAGACATGATCTGATTAAAGAGTCTTTGTAATAATGATGATCAAATCGTCTCCATTCAGAAAGAGAAGAGAGAAACTACTGTGGTACAGTGGAACTTCCCGAGGATGTGTGTGTGTGTGTGTGTGTGTGTGTGTGTGTGTGTGTGTGTTGTCTCCTCTCTCCTTTGCTTTCTATTTTCCTGTTTTTTATTCAGTCATATAAAACCATGGAGCAGTTTTCTCTCTTTCCCCCTCATCCTTCCCTTTTTCATGCAACACACTCTTTCTCATCCTCCTCTTCATCCCTCGCTCTTCTTGTTCTCATGTCTCCCACAATCCCCTCCTCTTCACCCCCCCCCCCTACACATTTTCCTTTAGAATA